TCACACTTGCACCCCTAGGGTATTCCACTTGTTGCCTTCAATAATGGGCCATATTGCATGTTAGGTCTCTTTGGGCAAAACAAAACAATTCAAATGATCATAGTCCCTCGATGACGCTTTCGAAAGTTGCCTAAAAAATGATCAAGTCCCTCCAAGGAAAAATTGCCCAAAGATACTTGGCACCATTGCAATTATGGTCTAAACGATGACCCGCGCCCATCCCTTTCACATCCTAACATTAGATTGTCCACCAAATGCAATGGTGGAACAAAATTGTTAAAAGGGTTAAAACATAGCAAAGATCTTTGAGAAATTTAGGGTAGATGGCTCTTGATTACTTGTCAACTTGCAAAACAAAACACTTGCCTATTTTTCAAAACCACACATCAATACACTTTCAAAAACATTGAAAACCTTTTCAAAAGACATACACCTTTGTATACATCCCAACATGGATCATTACAAAGGTTGCCATCACATTGACTTCTTTTCAAAACATTTTCAAATCCACACACACAAAGCACCATTTCAAACAATTGAAAATTGAGGCAAGTTGATTTAAGCAAGTAACTAAGAGCCCATGGATAACCATGGATAGAAAGGGTGCTAATACCTTCCCTTTCTATAATCTACTCCCCGAACCCAAGAAAACATCTCAAAGGTTTTTGCTGTGCTTTTTAACCTTTCCTTAGGATAAAATAAAAAGTCGGTGGCGACTCTTGCTCAACCGAAAAATTTGCGAAAACAAACGCAAAACCTCAAGTCAGTTCTCCCACCGTATCACAGATCGTATGCAAATCAATTTGAGAATATGAAGAGTAAGCTATGAACATGCACTATTAAGGAGTTATAACAATTACAGGTATAAAGGAATGCAACAAATACTTTATCTTTCCTCTATGTTCTGAGGCATGATATGCCTAAGTTAATTGCTAGTGTTAAATCTGTCAAAGGGTGGAATAAAAGATCTTTGTAAAGACTAAAGACTGGTTTGAAAGAGACATGTTCTAAGGTCGTGGCAAGGAAATTCAGTTTCAACACCTGTAAAACATGTGACATGAGGAATGAGTGCAAAAGAGTCTTTTACAGAGGAAAAGAGGTGAAAGATCACCTAAAGCCCAACTGATAATTACGTGTTTCCATCAAAATTTGTGCTTCCATCTGTTGATTATGCTTGTTTGCTTATGTGTGCTTCACATTTTTATTATATATTTACTCTATTTTTGTCAATTTTTTGGCTAAAAAGGGGGAGTAAAGTGTTAGTGTTTATCCTGATGTTGATGTCATATCAAATGTCTTGACATGTTGATTAACATTATGATATGATTGTACTAATGTTTAGGGAGACTAGTCTTTGTTGTTGCCTACTATTTGTGCAATTGTTTAGGGGGAGCATGATTGTATGTCATGCTTATTGCTGGTGATTAAGGATTTTGCTTATACTGTTGCTGTTGATGTGTGCATGATGTCATATCAGATGTCCTGACATCTTGTCTGAAGTGTTTTTATGGAAAACTTCGTGCATCTATTTTGTATTTGTGAGGCTTATTTATCTTTTGCTGCATGTACCTCTGATGTGTGAACTTAGACAATTCATGTTTGGATGTTCCCTTGAGTAAGAATATTGATTACGTGTGACAAGAGGAATAATGGACCTGTCTGAAGTTGTTGAGCATTGTGTTATGCTGTAATTGTTTTTGGAGTATGTTGATGTGATGTCACACCACATGTCCTGACATATGATATATGGAGTTTGAAGAAGAGATGTGAATGAAGTTGGGTCTCTCTGTAGCTGCATTTATCTACGATATTTTCTATTGGTAGTTTGTACAAAGCTTACATGTTTTTTATTTAGCTTGTGTTTTTTTCTTTGTGGTTTTATTCCTCTTCTCCAGTTTAATTGTGTTAAGGTTATTTTAACCAAAATTTACCAAAGGGGGGAGATTGTTAGGTCTGTGATTTTATGATTGGCAACAATTTTGGTAAAATATGTTGTATTTGAAAAAACATATATCACAACTTGATGTTGAGCAAGATGTCATGGCATCTTGACCAACTGTCATGACAAGTTCTACTGTCATGAATATTAGACAGATGTTGAGCCAAATGTCTTGACATCTTGGCCAACTGTACAACATGTGTTGCTATTATTTTCTTGACATATTTGATTTGTTTTTGTGAGATCCCCTTGGATCTATTTCACTTATTTTTGCAGGTCAAGAAGATTTTATTAGGAACTGTGCATATTTGATTTGGTTTCATAAAAAGAATCTTGGAGACTTTTTAGGAAACTTTGAAGATTTGTTCCTATTTTTTGTAAAATATTTTGTAACTGATTTAAAATTAGAAGATTGAATTTGATTAAAGAGTCCAAGCTCATACTGCAAGAGTATATATAAGGACTTGTTAAACTAAAATTAACTAGCATTCACATCAAAAAATCGTGGGTGCATATAATATGAGTTTAAGGTTTTGAGAGTACTTTAGGTGCTTTATTTATTTTTGTATGTCATCCATATATCTTTTGATACATTGAGATAGACTGATTATTTATTGTTACTTGTCCATCACTCATGAGCTTTTAAGCAACGGGTTGATTGTGTGTCAAGTTATTATTCTCAGTTAAAAACTTTTAAGCAAAACTGAGTATTGGAATTGGAAGTATGCTCTTTTGTTTTTGTTATTCTCACTGTCGTGACTGTGAGAAGTGAGAGGGTGATCTCATATCTAGAAGATTTCTAGGTAGAAGTTGCACAAGATAATAATTAGGAGATAAGTTGTAAACTATAGTTGTTTAGCTTGAACTAATACTATCATAGTAAATTTCCTTTCTGACTTGGATGCCCCAAGAGTAAGTGATGTTGCACTGAACTAGGTTAACAATTATCTGTGTTATTTTACCTTCTGTACTTTAATTTTGCATAATTTATTGTTTGGTAAAACTATTCTGTCAGCAAATAATGTCTTAACATTTGTCTTGATATCGTGTTTTGATGTTGGGACATCAGTATTGACATCTGTGTTAAAGTGTCAGAATTTCAATAACTTCAAATGAAGACTTTACATTATAGTGTTGTCATCATCAAAACCATCGAGATCATATAGTTACTATAAAAAATTGTACATACATAAATTTACATAAGAAAATACGAGACTGAGAAAGATAAAGGCCAACAAGATGACACAGATTATGAAGAGGAACAATGATAATTGTGTTAAGGTTAATAAATATTTTTTTAGTTTTTCTCTTGAACAAAATAAATTTGTGGCTAATGAGATTTTTTTTTTTATATTTATTTATATTTTAACTTCTAGTATCTATTTTAAAATTTTGTTATTTTTTTAATTAATATAATTATAAATCATTCTCGTTTTGACCCTTATAAAAATTTGTACAACCTCCTCAATTTTTAGGAACTCCTATCTTAAATTCAGACCGATTCTCCCAATTCTCACAAATTTAATTATATGAACAACTCAATAATAAATTTAAATCAAAATGTTTTAAAGTTTAGACCGATCATCAATCAGATTAAGCTTTTGGGTCACTGAATTACTTATCAGACCAGTGGGTAACCGATCTGACCACATACCTTCTAATTCAATTTATATAAATTAAAGAATATTCATGAAATAAATTCTTGACATAAATTTCACAAGTATAAAATATGCAAAAGAAAATTCTATAAATTTATTCATGCAAATAAATTGAATAACAATCTTAAATAAAATTTCAAATTCAAAATATTATAATTTGTTGATGCTCATCAATTAACAAAAATTAAAAAAATAATTATATAATATAATAATATCATAAATTAATAAATTAATGCAGAAGATAAACAAATATTATGCTCTATATAAATAATTAAAAGTAAAATACATAATAGAAAAGTAAAAATTTATAAATAGAAAAATTATTATAATTAATGTGACTTTTACTTAAAAATAATAATAAAATTTATATTAAAAATAATGTGAAAATTTAATTTCTTTTTCATTTGATAACATAAACTTTTTTTCTACAAATAATGATAAGATTCATACCGAAAATAAATGTGAAAATATAATATAATTTTCCATTGATGACATGATTTTTTTAATTTTTTTATTAATTATATTATATAATTAATTTTCTAATTTTTTAAATTTATTATATTACTATATTATGTAATTAGTAATTTATAAATTTAATGAGAATGCATTAGAAAGAAGTGTTGTAATTATAAGATATATAACTCTCTTCTCTTTAATCAAATTAAATATAATTTTTTTTTATGTATAATTGTTAAAACTACGACTCTAATAATTTTAAAAGATTACCTGTCCGATTCTTAAAATTTGATGAAATTTTATTTTTATAATTTTAATATTATTTAATTATTATAAATAACTAATATAATTATAAATATTAATAAAATTAGATTTTAAAATTCGAACACCAAAACTTAAGAAAAATAAAATAAAAGATCAAAATTATAATTAAATTAAAAAATAATCATAAAAAACAATCAATTGGATCAAGAAATCTACCGATTCACTAGTCTGATCAGTGAATCAGCCAAATTACATCGATTTTCACTCGAACAATTATGACTTTGATTTGATAATCTTATCGGATCACTCTACCCTTCGATGCACGGTCTAATCGATTCGATCGAATAGAACGGTCCAAATTTTAAAACACTAATTTTAATCAATTACTATTTAGCGAGAGTAAGCCGGTTCGATAAGCGAGAGTAAGCCGATTTTAAAACATTGATTTCGGCCCGAACCAAAAATGTAACCCTAATTTCAATTAAAAGTATAAAATTAAAATATATATTAAAAAAATAATTTAGTCATATATTTGAGATTTATGATATGGTATATACTATATACCGAACGTAAATGTTTTCTCTCTCTTGTAAAAACACAGGCAGTAGCTGTAGTGTCCCTCCCTCTCCCTCGTAGGCAGTAGCTGTAGTGTCCCTCCCTCTCCCTCGTGTTTCATAGAAAGAATGAGCGGCGACGGTGGTGGCGGCTCTAGGGTTCCGATCCCCAACAATGTACGAAATACCATCATTGACATCAGAGAGATCACCGGAAAACAGCACACCGACGACGAAATCTACGCCGTCCTTAAAGAACGTTCCATGGATCCTAATGAGACCGCTCAGAAGCTTCTCTATTTAGGTTTCTCTTTGATTTTTCAGTTTCTGCGTTTGTTATTCACTAATTGAACATGTATTTGTTAAAAGTTTGAAACTTTACTTCACTATCCTTTGTAGGGTTTAGTTGTTTTTGTTGCACATGTTTATGAAGCACTGCCACCGCAAACACAACACCAACACTGACGTGATAATATTAATAATTTGAGAGAATGAATAAATCAAATGTAATCACAAGTATATGTAGGAGACACTGACACGCCTTTTTTTGGAGGCTATATGTTTCTCAAATAATGGCTGAATTGAGGCATTGTGTGCCGCATACTAGTTTATAATTTTGTGAAAAGAAACATGTTTATGGCCTCTGAGATATTTTGAGTTTGTTTTTCTTTGTTTGTTATTTTAATGGGTTTGTTGGATTATTGATTTTCTGGTTGCAGATACTTTTCATGAGGTGAGAAGGAGGCATGACCGGAAGAAAGAAGTAAGATTTTGTTTCTGTCTTCTTATTTAGTTTACTTCTGTTTTACTGTTGCTTGTTGTGCATTATGATGCAGTTGGTGTGTAGATTTGTAATTACATTCGAAAGTTAGGTTGCTGAATCTGATTGATTTCTTACCTAAATAGCAAAGTCAGATATCCATTTGTTTGTGTTAATGAGTAGATCAGTTGGAGTGGATGAATCTTTTAGTTGTTTAACCCTTAATCAAAGTTTAGCTATTTTCTTCATTGTTGTAACCTGCTGGGTAACCTCTTGTTGTATCATGAGCTCACTTGAGCTGCCATTGTGTCGCATTATGAACAGAGTGATTCGGAGACTATGTTTAGTTTATGTAAGTTTATTCATTTTCCTTGACTGTCTGAATATGCATGGTTGCAATAGGTATTTGATTTCTGCCATTTAGGGCGCGCTGTGTAATCGTACAGTATCACTTGCAAACTGTAAAAGACCTGTTTTGTGTTTTGCAGTGGGTTTTATACGGGTTATTTAACATACATTTCGTGTTTGTTTTTGTGATTGCACTAGTCTAGTTGTTACTTGTGTTTCTAATGATTTCAGGTCATGGATGTTCCATTGCCGTTAGATAAATTAGCTTTAGAATTGATTAGTAATGAACCCTCCCCAGGAAGTACAAACATGTAGGTTTCTCTATTATATGCTTTGTGTAGTTTTGTGAGAGTTTTCTATTGAACTTATTATACCTTTTTTCTGCAGTGGCAACATATATGTCATTCTGGTAGCAACTGGAAGCTTCAATCCACCTACTTTGATGCATTTACGCATGTTTGGTGAGTTTCATTTGAAATTTTGGTTCATTCATCTGTTTTTGTTCCTACAAGCTCGCTCTTCGTGGCAAATTGTTATCTCATTTCCCTTGAGGATATATGACAGTTTAGTTAGTCAAATCAAATTTAAATGATTTTACTTAATCACTTCTAATATATAACAAATGACATCTTGATTTTAAGTTCATTCTTCAATATATTGATTGTTAAATGATCTGACATTCTTATTTCTAGCCTGAGTGTAGTGAAGAAATCTCTTTGTCTTTCTTGTTGTTTATCCCCTTCGGACTGTGTGTACACAGTGCCAATTTGCCTCCAGTTTCTATGTTGTCCAGCTCCTGTTTCTCCAGTACTAAGCTAATGAATTGTACACCATTGAAATCCTACCGCTCCTGCACTTGGTCTTGTGGTTGAACTACTGTTTCCATCTTTTGTTTAGTCATGTACTCCTCATCGGGACACTCTTCTTGTACTTCCAAGTTGTCCTGCCAAATAGTGTCTGTTTGTGTTGGAAACTCCCCGGGAACTTCTCGCTACCCGCTACCCGGGAACGCGGCTGAAGCGGCCGCTTTTTCATCTCCGCCACCGCACCCTAAATAGCGCGCGGGGGGGTGCCGCACCGCTACGGTGTGCCGCGATAGCGGCTGGAGCGCCCGCTATTGACACTCTGGAGGAGAGAGGTATATGCGTGTAGGATGTTCCATCTAATTAACTTTAAGTACCTCTAGATGAAATGTCATTGGCACAATCTTTTGACTTCTGAGTGCCTCAATTTTCAAATTAATTTATTTTCTGCTTGTCTGATTTGTTATTTCTGATAGAGCTTGCAAGAGATGCATTGAATTCCAAAGGTTACTGCGTAATTGGAGGTTACATGTCACCTGTGAATGATGCCTACAAGAAAAAGGTATGCCGCTGTCTAACAAAGAGAGAAAAATATCCTTACTTTATTAGATCCATACATCTCTTTAGAATACTTGTCAAGTACATCAAATGATTTTGTGAAACACATGTTTGGCTTGCGCGAGACACTGAAGTTATACAGGATTCAACGAGCAATCTATTGTGAGGTTTAAAACATTCCTTAAATTATTAATCTCCTAGGCATTTAGACAATAGATCAAGTTTTGAGATGATATTTATCATGAAGCAACTATTAGAAGCCTCACGTTAGTAGGTGAGAGTGCATTAATGGTTTACATTTAACACCTTCTCACTCAAGAGCCCTTTTGACTTGAAGTAGGCAATGCATCGGTTCACCCAACTTTGTTCTGTAATCGGACTTTTATTTAGAATGGAAGCATTAAAGATTGAACTCTAGAGTAGACCACTTGGTCATAGAGACTCTGACATCATATCATGAAATGAACCAACTATCTCAAAAATTCAGTTATTAAGGGAAATATCATAATTGGTTCTAACAACATTATTCATGTAATCGAGATTTTTATTCTATCTGCCTCTATCTAATAGATTTCACAGCTTCCGTTTTTCTTTTCCTAATTGTCTTCACTTATATGTTGATTCAGAACCTAATATCTGCTAGCCATCGGATACAATTATGTCATTTAGCCTGCAAAAGTTCAGAATTCGTAATGGTTGATCCATGGGAGGTACTTTACTCTTTCTATCTGCTAGATTTTACATATCTTTCTATTTTTTTTATTTTTTTGCATGTAGAGTACTTCAATATTGAAACATTTGAATTTTGAGAAAGTTTGATGTCACAACTATTGCGAAAGCCAAGAACTATATCAGTCTGGCTGGCCTGATTTCTCACATTTTATTTTTATGTGGTTATAAACTCCTACAGGCAAACCAAAGTTCATACCAACGCAGTCTAACTGTACTGTCCAGAGTTCACACTTCAATTTGTGAGACAGGGTTGGTATCTAAAGGTATGCTTGACAGACAATTCTTCAATAAGAGCTCGTTAGTGTATTATCGTCTCAACATGCTTCCCCTCCCCCATCGTAAATTAAAATCCTGGGGGAGAGAAAGGGAGTGAAGAAACACCGGCTTTCTTACTCTCTTTTAATATTGAAACACTGGTCACATGGATGACATTTGAAATAAAAAACATGTAGTCTTGGGATTAGTTGTTCATTTACAAATGTTTTGCTTAGGTATTCCCTTGTCTTTTTTTATATCTAAAATTTTAAACTGCATTAATTATTTTTTTATCAACATAGTATACTCCTGATTATGTTGCATTTTTTTACTACCTGTATGATGGAAATATAAATTAATTCTCTCTTCTGAAAGGTAAACTTGTAAAAAAAGTATACCAACTGTCAACAAATTTAATAATACTACCAAGCTTCTTAATTCCCATGATTTAGTCAACGAGGTCCTATATTTTTAGGGAGGGGTAGTATGTGTTTTTATTTCAGAGCACATTTTTCTGCCTGATTCTAGGCGGTCTATTAGCACCAGTATTTTTGTAATGTCTTGGTGCTATGGGCACATAATTGGCAGCCGATTTGGTTATGTATTTTACTAAACCTTAAAGTGGTATGTATATGTTGAGTGTCAGAAGATATGACCGAAGCCTAAAATCTGCATTAATAGTTTCTTTCAACTGATTTAAATTGTGTGCTAAAATTTGATTTCTTTCTATGCATGATCCTCATGATGGTGTAAAAGCAATAAAATAACTTGCTTTTGTATGGATTAGTGTAGAATCTCTGAAAGTCATGCTTGTCTGTGGTTCTGATCTCCTCCATTCCTTTTCTGTTCCTGGAATATGGGTTCCTGATCAGGTACTTATGAATTAACTAAAATAGAGAAATACAACTGCGTCTATATTTAGATCTAAGGGTACTGTTTCTCTACACACAAACTCCACCGTAGGAGTTGAATTGATTCTGTGATGATGTTATTGTCACATTTTAGATGGTTAATAAGTTAGGGGTTTTTTCTTCTTCTAAAGGAGATACAACTTAATAGGCATGGATGGGGTATAAATATATTTCTTGTATGTTAAGTGATTTGCCATTTGTTAAGGAAAAAATGGTGGACTAAAATTGTCATTTTATATTTTTACTTTAGGTTAGAAGTATCTGCAGAGATTATGGCGTAGTATGCATTCGCAGAGAAGGACAAAATGTTGAGAAGACTATATCCAATGATGAAATTATGAATGAAAATCAGGTATTTTGATTGAGATACAACTTTCAAGCTTTCTGTATTTGGTTACATTTTATTTTCGAAACATGGTCTGCTATGTCTTCAATTCATTGTATTTTCCATGTTTTTTGTTGGAAAACTTTAGAATGATTTGTTTTGCTAAATTTTCCACTGCATATTTTTAGGCTAATATTGAAGTTGTAGATGAACTTGTACCAAATCAAATCAGCTCAACAAGAGTGAGGTAATTAATAACACTATCATTTTGTTTTACTATAAGGGAGATTTTTTTTATAATTTTAATGTGTTTTTTTATTATTAATTTCAGGAAATGCATTGCAAGAGGATTATCAATAAAATATCTTACTGCAGATGAAGTCATTGAATATATCAGAAAAAATAAGTTATACTTAAACTCAAATGATGAATAGTTCATTGGGTATTAGATGCTTTATTTGATATGCAAGAGTCATTGGGTACATCGCTACATACTGGGTCTGTTTTCAATAAACAGTTGATTTGATGTTGTAAACTTGTAGGTAAATAAAATTCCGTAATTCACAAGGTAAATGCAAAATTTAAGAGAATAGTTGAAGTTGTAAGCTTTAACAGCTTAACTTAAATACTAGTAGTTCTTAAATTTAATCCCTTAAAAGATTTTAGGGACTATTTTGAGGACTAAAAATATCAATATCAATATATATATTGTTAAATAGAGATTATTTTTACAAACTAAAAAGAGGTTTAAAGTTGAAAGCTCATAATAAGTACGAGGAAGTTAAGAGTTTAATTAACTAAATAGTATTAAATTTCGTTCTTGTATTTTTTTTTCAACAAAAGTTTGTACCATTCTATTCCATGAGATCATAGTCATGTTAAATAACATAGAGTTAAAAGATGAAAAGATAGTACACTAATAATATAAAATAGTTTTACATTATTATCTAATAGAAAACAAGTATTTTGCCGTGTCATTAAAAAAATTTAAAATAAAAAATAATTTAATTGGATCTATGATTGCGATTGGTTGAAAATATAAAACTATATTACAATATAAAAAAAAAAATAGAATTTAGACAATTCTATTTTTTAAAGTAT